CCCGCCGCCGGCGCCGCGCTCACCATGGTGCTGGCCAGACCCGGCGCGGCCAGGGCCCCGCACAGCAGCGCAGGCTTCAGCAAGCGGTACAGGCGGCTGAGGTTCATCACGGCGGCGGGGGCGCCGGAGGCAGCGGCTCCTCCCCTCGCCGAGCCGACCAATGGACGCGCGCCAGGGGGGGCCTCTCCTCCCCGCCCTAAGCCACGCCCACAGACCCCTCATTGGTCGGACGCGCGGGCGGGGCGGACCCATGGTGACGCCAGCCAATGGGAGGCCGGGGCGAGGGGCGGACGGGGTCGAGGCCGGGGCCAGGAGGCGGAGTCACTGCCGTAGGCGACTGCGCATGCTCGCCGGCGGGCGGACTGCCGGGTCCACGCAGGCGGCGCGTTGATGGGTTTAGGACGGTTATCCGGGTGGTTGACCGCAGCACCGCGGGATGCCTGACAACTTGAGATAGTACTGGAAACCCGTGGTGGGGGGCTCGAACTCGCAGGAAAACTGCCCCAGCTCTTTGAACACTGGAGGTTTTCTTTTAAAGTCACACGGGGTCGGACTCCGGCTCCCTCGCGACTGCGGTGTCGCTGCGGGGGCGCCTCGCCCGGCCCGTGGGCCCAGAGAAGGCCCGAGCCCACCCAGCTCGCCCTTAGAACGGGCACGTGAGCCGGGGGGCACTAACCAGGTGACCGTTAGCGGGCCCCGGCGGCCACGAGGACGCGCAGGTGCGTGCCTGGCGGGTGTGTGCCGGGCAGGAGCAGCACACGCCGCGGAGAGTTGTCTGCGCGCCCCACGGTGCACGGCGGTCCGCGCACGGGGCCGGAGTGCTCGACCTCTGGGCTTACGACTTGTTTTCACTCCCGGTTCTGGCCTTTGGCCGGGGCGGTACAGAAGACAGACCCGCCCAGTCTTAGGACCCGAGTCAAGGAATTCCTCAGCGGCCCGGCCGCCCCCACGCCCACCCCACGCCCACCCCACGCCCGGCCGTGACTGGACTTTGACCTGTGCTGCATTTCGCCCCCTCCCGGACCCTCCGGGGAGCTTGGCTGCAGAGGCCACGGGCACAGGACTCTCTGGGCTTGGCTCACTTGGGGAGCCAGAGAGACCCCCTGTCTGCCTCCCACCCAGGCCGCCCAAGTGCCGGCCAAGTTTGGTGGTGAAGGCTGCGGAATGGGGAAATCCATTCCAGGGGCCGCTTCCCCATTCCTGGTCTTGCCCGACCTCCGCACGGGGCTTCCTACCTCCAGCCTGGCTACCAGAGGCCCACTTGTCAGCGGCACCTCTTGGAGGGGAGCCCCCATTGTCTCTGCTGGGCAGCCTCATTTCTCAAAAAGCACCCAGTCCCCCTCTACTTCTGCCTCCCTGGAACGACAGGGTGGCATGGCCACATTGGTCTGACTCACTGGAACTGTGCTCAGGCCTCACCAGCGTCTCGGGGGTCCTGAGGCCCACCCGCTCCCATGAGCCCTTTTTCCTCCCTCTCCCTAACGTCCACAGTCCTGTTGCTGTCTCCACCTGCCACCCATGCCTGAGCCCTCCCGGGGGACCATCCAGGTCAGCCCTCCTTGGGCCCAGCCGCCCCTGGCCCCAGGTTCCAACAATCCTGCCTAATCCCCTTACTCAGATTTGCCCATCATTCCAGCAACCTAGACAGATGCCATTTCTCCCATCTTAAAATCCACTCCTAGCCCTCTCCCTGTCCGCCTTTGGCCCCCTCTCTCCTTGGCATCTACATCCACACCTCCAGCTCCTTTACTCCCATAAATCCCACTCTGGTCGGGCCCCCTCCTCATCTGCCCTCGTCAGGGTCACCAGTAATGTCTGCTTGTCTAACCCCCCGCCTAATCTTCAGGTCTGCTCAGACTCGCTGTTTGGTGGCCTTGTTGATCACTTTCCCTCCTCCTCCTCCAGACACCTTCTTCACCGCGTTGGAGGGCACCTGGCAACCTCTTTATTCCACTTCAGGAGGGTTCATGTAATACAGCTGGCACTTGGTGCTGCAATCAGTAGCCAGGTCCCCTGGGAAGTGGGTGCTGTTCTCGTTCCTGTCCCACAAGGCAGGGGGAAGGGAGGCATTTAGGCAGAAAAGGGTTGAGTAATGTGCCTCGGTTCACGGGACCAGGATTGGCCGCTGCTTCAGGGTCTGTGCCCTCCCCTCCTCTTGGCCTCTGAATCTTGGCAACGTTTCGGATCTGTTTGGTGACCTCATCCAGGCTCCAGTCTCCAGTGACTCCCACATGCCTGTGTCCACTTGGACCTTGCCCTGGATTCCAGACTCATACCCCATTGTCTCCTTGACATTTTTCCTTGGGGCAACAAGAACCTCCTTCTTTCTCTCTTTCAATTTTATTTTATTTTTTTAAAGATTTTATTTACTTATTTGACAGGGAGAGCCAGAGAGCACAAGCAGAGGGAATGGCAGCAGGAGAGGAAGAAGCAGGCTCCCCACTGAGCAGGGAACCCTATGTGGGACTCCATCCCAGGCCACTGGGATCACGACCTGAGCCAAAAGGCAGACGCTTAACTATCTGAGCCACCCAGGCAACCCTCTTTCTTTCAATTTTAATTTTAATTTATTTTTTT